GTCTTAAACAGTTAACAAAACTAAAAATAGCACAAAACTGCCAAATAGCAGATCTAACAAAAGATATATAAAAAATAAAGAAGATACCAGAGAATATAGATAGTTAAAAAGATAATCTAACATGTCTAATAATATTAAAGCCAAGAAAACTAAAAATAAATATAAAAACAGAAGGTAATTTATGAATAATTTTTAGATATAGCATAAAAATAAATAAGCTTGCAAATATTTATTTATAAAAAAAAACAAAATCTAAATAAATAAAACAGGTTTAATATACTTAAACCAGCTGCTAGATACAAAAAAAGAAAAATTAATTATATAGCAATAGCTAAAAATTTTTTAAGATCTATCAAGCAAAAGTAAAAAATCAGAATAGTTCAAAACAATAAAATCAAAGATGCTTAGTAAACTATAAGCAGAAAGGTCAAAAGATACTTTAAGATAAACAGACAAAATACACAAATAATACAAATTAAATAAAAAAGTATTTTAAAAAATAAGCAAAAAAAGAATAGATAATATATAGTGCACAAGATCATAAGCAATTAAAAAATAGTAAAAAAGAAAAAAAAAGATATTAGTAGAACATTGGCAAATGCAAAGTAAAAAAGACAAATTAGCTATCAAAGTAAAAAGATATAATAAATATACAAGAGAAAAGATACAAACAGAAGACAGCTGCCAACAATAAATTAAAGCAAACAGCAAAATTAACATAGTTTCAGATATGTTAATAAAAAAAGACAATACCAAAATTAATATAGTAATATATTAAATAACAGAAACAGTAAAGACAAATAGAATAGAATATAGAGAACAAAAACTTAAAGAAATTAGAATAGTAGCAGAATTAGAAATAAAAATTATTAAATGACAAAAAATGGAAAAAAATATTAATCAAGAAATAGTAAAAATTCTAAGAAGAAATATAACAAGAAATAAGAATAAATATACAATATATATAAATGATACAACAAGTTTAAAAAACAAAGAAAATATAGTAGCAGAAAATAAAATAAACATAAAATAGGTCCAAACAAATAAAACACAAAAATGGTCAAAAGAAGAAATAGCACTTGGTTTAGAAGGATGCTAGACATTAACAATAGCTAAGCTAATAGCAATATAAATAGCAATCCTAACAATATTGAAGAAAAAACAAGTAGAAATATATACAGATAGCAATACTGCAATAAGAAATATTAGTAAAGGTTTAGAATAAGCAAATAGAAATAAGATTCTTAAAAAGAAGAATACAATATAAATAATAAAGATTAGAAATCTTATAATAACAAAAAACATACAAATAAAATTAGTTAAAATAAAAAAATATAGAAAAGATAGATAGAATAATAAAGCTAATAGCTCAGCAAAGAAAAGAGCAATGAGTAAAAAGATAATACAAGCCAAAAAAGTTAGTTGTAAAAAGATAAAGTACTGTTTAGAGTAGGAAAACAAATAAACTGATATATAAGCAAGATTGCTATACAAGTTAGTAACAAATGCAAAATTAGAAGCAAAATAAAAATAAATAAAAGCAATTAAAGACTTAAAACTAGAAGCAGAAGTTACAATATATAATTGAATATATTTTTGAAAAAGACCAAAAGAGTACATTGTACAACAAAAAAAATTAGTGCCAGAAAAAGTGCATTTATAAAGTATGTAATAGATAAACTTTTGACTCTAAAAGAACTTAACAAAAGAAGACCAGATGTATACACAACAACAGAATGCCAAATATGCTAAAAAAAAGTAAAAAAAATATAAACATATATGGTAACATATAGAGAACAAAAAAATTTATGAAAAAAAATTTAAAAAATAACTATAGCAATAGTTTGAAAGAAGCTAAAGAAAAAAAAAAGTATAGATTTCTCTATATATATTATATATAGCACTTTTTAGAAAAACAGAAACTGAAGAAATTAAAATAAAAAAAAAACATTAATTAAAGACCTAATTTTAAAAGAAACATAAAACTGTTTATAACAACTCCTAGATATAAAATCAAGACAGCAGTTTATATATATAATAGAAAATATAATCTAAGATATATTTTATAAACAAATATAAAGAATTTAATATAAAAAAATTAGTGAATAAAAGAAAAAAGTAGGAATAACAGAAAGGTTAAAAAGAAGAGAGGAAAAAAAAAAAAAACTAAAAAAAAAAAGACAAATTAACAAAAAATAAAAGAAAGAAAAGCAAAAAAAAATAAAGCAAATTAAAAAAAAAACAAGACAATTTTGGGACTTGTTATAAAAAAAGATCTTTTTATTATGAACTTTAAGTAGTCAGACAAGCAGCTTATTTTGGCTCAAAGTAATGTTACAGATTGTACTTAAATATCAATAAGATGATTGGATAACACTAGACTTAGTTGTTAGAAATATTTATATAATTGCAAATATAATTTTAAAATTTTAATAAAGTACTAATATGACTGCTTAAGAAAAATATATATATATATTGTATTATAATTAATAAATATTAATTAATTATAATTAAATTAATTGTTTTATTATTTTAAAGTGTTTTGAAGCAAGAGATATAATGATCTAATGAAGTAGTCAGGTTGTCAACTCCTAAGTAGCAGGTCTAAAGTTCAAATTCTATGAATAATGAATTTTGAAAAATAGGTCTGTGTTATGATAATTGTTTTTATTGATTGATTGGATTAGTATATCTGTAATCTTCAGTTGCACCATTTTGAATAAAAGCTTAAGGCATCTATGCAAAATGTAATGTTATATATATATAGAGAAATATTAATAACTAATATTGTATAAGACTTCAGTGCAAACTCATGATAAGATCACCAGGTATAGAAAACAAAAGAATCAAAGAGTCAAAAACCTACTTAGAAATTTCAAATAAAAAGATAGTATAAAACTTTCAACTATGCTATCAAACTGATAAAAGTCTATGAAATATCTTCAAAGAAATAGTTAGATAAACCAGATAGCAAGATGTATAGAGAAGCATATGACCAACTAGGATACTAGAATTACCAAAGAAAAAGAATACTAAGGTATACCATATTAGGCTATTTGAATTAGAAGTCTGAGAAGTCTTATTAGTTCTAAGTAATAGTTAATAAAGAATGATAAAGAAGATATCAGAAAGATAAGTATTGGAGTTTTGGATAAATATTACAAAGATATAGTAGTTTAATGGTTAGCCCTAACTGCAAATGATAATTTAGGCCAAAGTGATACCAGATAAGCTATAAGATACAAAACATACTAGTAAGTTTAGTACAAAGTTAAATATAACTTAGTAATTATGATATATCTTTATCAGTTTATCAGAGTCATTAGTAGAGTGTGGTAAATACAGAATCAAAATGTTTAAATAGAGGGCCTACAAGTGGGTCCTAGATATAGCAACTAGTGTAGAATCTTCAGGCAAATTACTTAAATTAGACAATAACTAAAGTTGTATAAGTAACTAGTTATATACTCTTTTTATAATCACTTTTGCACTATTACATTAACAAATACTAACTAACTGATACTACTAATAAAATCCTGGATTGCATGTACTCACCTTAATATTAAAAAAAAAAAAGAAGTATTTTGGAGCATCTGAGACATCTGAAGTATAACCTAAGTCCTTTAATAAGAGCCCTTGTAATGTTAAACAAATATTATTTTAGATATCTAAATAACTATTAATTAGAATAAAATACTATAAAAAATCTACTAATAAAATAAATATTAACCTATTAAATAGGTGATTAAAACTAATAAAATAATTTATAAATTATAAAATATAATATATATAAAACTAAATATATAATGATATATAAAAAAAAGTAAATTCTATTATAATACTAAAATAATTTAAATATATTATAAAGTAATACTAAAGTTCAAGTAAATTCTGTAAGAGCATAGCAGTTTAATGACTAATTCTGATCACAAATATTGATTCTGATATAATAATACTAAATTAATTATAAAAATAGATATAAAAAGTTTTGAAAAGTTTAACTTAAAAATAAAATAATCTTAAAATTAAAATAATAACTTAAACATAACCTAATAATATTAATATAAATTGCAAGGTTAAAAAATTTAAAATGAAACAACTAAGCAAAGATGTTAGATATGACAATTGATAGAAAATCTTCAGATAAACTCTTTAAATAGGTAATATAAAAAATTACACATGTAACCAATTGTATACTTTTTTTGTAATATTACCAAAAAAATCATTAATAAAAATCAAAAGACCAAAAAATTATCTTAAAAAAAAAAACAATATAAACATTATAGCAAGAGACTCAATGTTAATCTTAATCTCAAAGATAACAGAATTAGTCAAGAAATAGTCCAACAAAACTTAACTAAAGTTCAGCTCTTCAACCTAACAAAAGAATTTATTAATACAGCAAATATGTTAAGCACCAAGCCTTTCTTAACTTTAAAAGTAAGCCTAAGAACCTTATTACGACATTGCATTTAAAACTATAGGTTTTTTATTCTTCGTATATATAATATTGATTGTGACTGAATATCGTAAAAGAACAAAAATCTTTAGCCAAAAAATGTAATCGTTAACGTAAATCTACCAAAAAAAATGCAAAATGACGAAACACGCAGTCTAATTAAAAATGTTGGAAAGACTATACCCCTCCTCTTATACTAATACCAATATAACCCTAATCCTAACCTTAATTTAAAAACGTCAAAATCACGTGTCTACATGGCTTTAGCCATCCCCCATTTTTGGTAAAATCCCTGACTGTAGTGTATCAGTTGCACTCCTGATCTGCAATTCTTTATAATCACCGTGACATGAGTGACATAAGTGTAATGTATAGTATCGGTATATATAATAATATATAATATATATTTTAGTTTCGATTGTTTAATTATTTCTCGCACTTTAACTTCATGGATCTTCAGAACGGGTATGGATCATTATATTTTTAATAAGACGGAAGCAATATATATGCTCCATAAATTTAACTCGAGATATTTTAATAGACAACCGAAACACCTTGGCGTTACGCCGCCGATTGCAGTAACCTATCCTACACCCAGAGAAATTGAAGTCACAGATTTACTGGTTCAAGAGCTTACAGCACAGGGAACGTTCGAGAGCGAAGAAGAAAGCAAACGGCGGTATGTATTTTTCCTGGTAAAGCTTTTAAACTATTAAATTCCTTATTTAGGATTGCTACTGATTATACTACGATTATTATTGTATAGTGAAGTCGTTTTAGGCAAACTTGATAAACTTGTAAAAGAATTTGTTTACAATATTAGTCGGGAAAAAAAAAACCTTCCAGAAGCTGATGCCAGAGAAGCCGGGGGGAAAATCTTCACTTTCGGCTCATACAGGCTAGGAGTTCATGGAGCTGGTACAAAATTTTAATATCGATTTATTTATTTTCCCAATAGTATATTAAAAAATAACCGAAATTTCCGAAATTTGGAATACTACAGGTACTGATATTGATACACTCTGTGTTGTTCCTAGACATGTAACTCGGGAAGATTTCTTTACCGATATGCACAAATCCCTTAGCAACCTTGCTGAAGTAAACGAGCTAACTGTAAGTGCCTTAATATTTATGCACTTAAGTCTTGTAAATGATACTAATAATGTTAATTTTATGTAGTGTGTTACCGATGCTTATGTTCCTGTTATAAAATTAAAATTTCAAGATATTCCAGTTAATTAATCAATTAACTATTTTTATCATACATGAATTTTTTATAGAGCTGTACACTGTTAAATATTTTAATTTTATTCTTCCTAATAAATAGATTGACCTTATCTTTGCAAGATTAGAGCTTCCTAAAGTTCCCGACGAGCTTGAACTTAGGGAGAATAGTCTTCTAAAAAACTTAGAGGAGACATGTATCAGAAGCCTAAACGGTGATTAAAGTCTCTTAGGGTCATGATGAGCTAATAATTTACTGATTTGCTAAAAGTTATCATTTAATATTCGCCAGGATCGCGAGTAACGGATGAAATATTACGCCTTGTTCCAAGTATACCAGCTTTCCGCACATCTTTACGGTGTATAAAGCTTTGGGCTAAAAGTATGTTTCTCCGGATCACCTGCTTGCTTATTTTTCATTTCATATATTTTTTTTATTAAAATTATTTAATGTTCAGGACGTGCCATATATTCTAATGTAATGGGATTTTTTGGAGGAGTTGCATGGGCAATGTTGGTGGCCCGAATCTGTCAACTATACCCAAATGCCATAGCTGGTGCGATCGTTTCACGATTTTTCCGAATTATGCATCAATGGTTCGCATGAATTGCATACTGTTTTTTTCGCATCATTAATATATATTAATAATAACGAACAAATAATATAGGAAATGGCCTCAACCGGTGTTGTTAAAGCCAATTGAAGATGGACCTCTTCAAGTCAGAGTATGGAATCCAAAGGTATAGTTTTCTAAAGATTGTATGTGAAATATTAGCAACCGGCAATTTGTTCCTGATATTTTTAACTTTATCCATGTAATAAATATGAGTTGCTATCTAAGAACATTGGAGGATGATTTGTAATTGAGATTTCCGATTGCATTATACTTTTAACCTCATAAATATCATCCAGATATATCATGGCGATCGGTTTCACTTGATGCCAATAATTACACCCGCTTACCCTTCAATGTGCGCTACACATAATGTCACACAATCTACTAAAAAAATAATAGAAAGAGAATTCGGACGAGGTAATTTCATTTCGTTTATTTCATTTTCATATTTATATGCTCATATATATCTTCTAATTAAGCTGCTGAGATCGCGGATCATGTAATGATTGGTACAGGAAAATGGGCAGACCTTTTTGAAAAACATGACTTTTTTATAAGATACCGATATTATTTGCAAATTATAGCCTCTTCCGATTCTTCTGAGAGACAATTGAAATGGTTGGTAGTTTCTAATAATGAAGAATATTATTGATACTAAAGATTATATCGTTGTTATTAGGTCGGGTATGGTAGAATCGAGAATCCGTCATCTAGTATCAAAACTGGAAAGTGTAGAGAATCTTGCATTGGCACATCCTTTTGTAAAAGGGTTTGATAAAATTTATCATTGTACAAGTGACCAAATGGCAACTGATGTGATGCACGGAATTTTTGATTCAACGTCAACCAGTGATAAAAATAGCTCGGAATTATCACAAAATGGTACAGAAACGGCTACTGTTCGTGATATATATACTACTACCTTCTACGTTGGATTAGATATTAATCCTAGAGATCGTAGGTTCAATTAATAACTTCTATTATTCGCTTTAAGTACCAAATTTCGTGAATTTAATCCGTAATTATTATTCAGCTGGCACAAAATCACCAAGACAATTAAATATTTCATGGCCGACTCAAGAATTCATAAAATTGGTAAAATTTTGGGACAAATATGACGAAAAATCTATGGGTATTCATATCAAACACGTGAAAAGGTATTATGAATCAGATTTTCATGTTCGTAAAATCATTGTACATTATCTACATCCGCGATTTTATATATAGTTCGGAATTACCTCCTGAAGTATTTGAAGATGGCCAGAAGAAACAAGATTTCTCATCAAAGAAACGAAAACGTACCGGACTTACTGAGAAGGTATGAAATGAAGCTTTATAAACTGTTCTATATACTTTTCTAATTTGCATTTTGTTGCTTCAGGACCCAAATGCTAAGAAACTTAAAACCTCTGGACAGAAAGGAGTTTCTAATGATAGAACGTCCAATATATCCTCAAACATATGTTGCTGAAAAAAAGTGGAAAAAAGGAAATTTCATAGAAAAAATTGAGATAAATGAAAGCTTGCACGATTCTGTCTTTGCGGCTTGTGTCGATGATCCCTTTTTAGAACGAAAAAAAAAAAAAAGAAAAAAAAAAGAAAAAAAAAGAAAAAAAAGAAAAAAAAAGGAAAAAAAGAAAAAAAATCCTGACTAATATTTACGAAACTGACTTTTTTTTTTTGCGTTATCATCGGTGTAATCCAATGAGGTTTCGAGAAATTACGTGTGCGCTTTACAAGGTAAGAAACCGGATCATTGTGGATGGGATTGCTCGTAATTTGTTTTACTTGCTAAAAAAAACAATTCAGAAAAAAGCACTAGCAGACCTGGTGGTGGACCATCCACGCGACGTTATCTATTCCGCTTTATTTTTTCGTTTTATTTTTCTTTGCATTTGTATCGTTTTCTCTCTTTAACTGTATATGTTTATGACGCAGAATTGAATTGTTTAGATACGGCGTTCGAAAATTACATATAGATGAGCTGTTTATTTTATTCTCTATAATAATATATTATAATTGGTTTTGCATTTACATGAAGTATTTGTTTTTTAATGTCCAGTGAAGAGTTTAAAATGATATCAATTGACCCATTCATTGATTATACGTATCACATTTCTACATCGTTTGAAGAAATTTACCCGCAAATTGACATAATTTATCTATGATCAAGTTATCAAACTTGTAGTTTACATCACAGTTCATTTTAAGCTACACTGTCGATAGTGGGACGGTGTAAGGGATAGCACTACAGTCAGACCCCCCTAAATGCACCACCCCTCTAAATGCATGATATAAGTCCGAGCCCATGGCGGGACTTATAGATAAAAGCACGTTCTTTATTATGTATAAGTGCACGCTAATTGTCTGGCCCATTTATAAAATCTCCCTCCATAAATGCATCCACGTGATGATTAGCCAATCAAATTCATTATTTCTAGGCTATTAGAGCAGTAATAATAGTCATCTTGTGATTTTATTAGTGTTCTCTAAATGCACGCTCCAAAGCCGGTCCCAACGACGTGCATTTAGGGAGGCCTGACTGTATCAAGTGTTTGTTATTCAGTCCAAAGAATTCCTTTCTCGTGACCTATGGTTACATAATTTCGTTGTATTTCAGTATTTTTGTGCACGATTTTCTTGCTGAAACAAACATCGATGTTGAAGTATAAATTAAATGTAGAGTATATTTATGGGTTCTTTCACAGCAAATCGGGGTTTAGAGACGATCTAACGGAAATTGAGATTTTTATTGGATTGTATTCACAAATACGAGGTGGATTTGTAACGTTGACTTATTATCGTTCTATACGCAGTAATTTTTACATACGTCCGATCTTCCATCTAAAGAATATTTGGTCAACTGGCGAAGCAGTTTTAGAGTTTCCGATATCAAGTTACAGCAGAGACAGTGCCCGATCCAAAGTGAATCCCTCTCGCCTGTGATCAATTACAAATTAAATTATTTATGTTGGATCCCTCGCTAGTTTTAATATACGTGTAACATTAACGGTCTCTGCTGTAATATCAAGCAAGCAAAAACTAGTACTGTACAAGCTACTAGTGTTACTAGTTATTTCTAGTCCGATTTTAATATCCTTTATTATAGAATTTCAAGTTAGTAAGTAGATTCTGGCTATGGTATAAAATTAAAGATCCGTATATTTGCTTTCAGGTACCTTTTTAGATTTGGGCTTTAGTAAAATTTTTGTAAGCTTATTTAAAGACTTTATATCTGGACTGTTTACTAATGATTTGTTTTTTATATTTGTAAAGAATATTTCCGATTACTTTCCATATGAATAAAGCTATAATTTCAAGGTGGATTAATGAAAAGATATGTATCTTAAAATCCTTATAAGCTTAAACTTATTATGTAAAAGCAGAAATATTTTTGGTATTAATACATTTATGAATTATATAATTTTAAAATTTCAATTATTACAATATTTATTAAAGAAATTAATGAATTATTAGTTGATATTTATATACTGGTAACGGTATAATAATCTAGTTAATCTAAATCTTCATTCTTTTTATTTAGAGCAAAACATAGCTTATTTTTATATAGATCATGTATATAAAGATGAATATTTTTAAATAATTGTGTTTGACATTTTAAAGTTAAAGGTTTTAAAAAACTATGTCTAAAGGTTTGTATGGATCAAAAGAAAGATTATTATGAAATAGAGTTTCTTTTTTTGATCAGTTAGGTTTTAATAATATAAAAATTTTTTTAGGTTTATTTTGATAAAAATAAAAATAATAATATACTTGTATACTATCACATTTAACAAAGTAGGGTTTAAAAAATATTTCAAAATTATAGTAATTTTATTTTTTTAATTTTTTTTATCATATTTAACTGTTATATTATTTTATCTTTTTTTGATTTATTAACAATAGATTTAATGTTATTTATACTCATAACAATAGATTTATTATAAAGTAATTTAATTGTTTTAAAATATATATTGCATATAAAGTTTGTATAAACAAGAATCATAAAATTAATCTCAACTGTTTTAAAATATTTAATTATAATAAGTTATGAATAAAATCACAAAGAAAGATTATTTTTGTTTTGGCTTCTACAGTTATTATAAGTAATTTTCAAGATTTTTTTGTATTAAATTCTAATTAAGTAAATTATTAAACACAAGATTTAGAGTAGTGTTAGCATTTTTAGATGTTTTTGTTAGTAATTGATATTCACTAATTAAATAATTCTGATAAGTTATAGATTTCAAATTAGTATTGATAATTTTAAATATATAAACATTATATAAAAATTTAAAAAATAAATCTTTTAGTTATTGTAATAAGTAGAAAATTAGTATATTTTAAGTCTAATTATAGCAAATATGCAAAATATTAATTCTTACTTGTTTATTAATCTTAATATTTTTATTATAGTATTTGTATTTAATTGTAGTTGCCCAATGAAGATTATATTTTTTTGAAATTTTTTTTAATTTTAATATCATCTGTAATATAAATACTAGCATAAAGTTGTTGATATTTGTTATACAAATCATATGTTTTAAACATAAACCAAATATTAAATACAATTGTGTTCCAAATTTAATAAAATGTTAAAAAAGTTATAGTTTTATAATTTTATTTTTAATAGATTTAATTAATATTACATATACTAGTATAAATTATATCTGTTAGAAATAAAATAATAATTATAATATTTTTTCATATATATTGATTTGGTAATAAATATTTATGAATATTAGCATAATTTTGAAAAAATTATTTAGTTTTTGTTATACTTAATTATTAATAATAGTATGATTAGATCTAGTAGATACATATTTTGTATTATCATAAAATATTTCTGCTATTTTATTATTTTTAATATATGTTTTGATTTGATCAAGCTATAAAGAAAAAATTCTAATTAATATTAAATAAATAAACAATATACTAGAAGATAGTGATCCTAGTATAGTGGTTGGGTTATCATCCTTTAAACAGTAGGTTCAAAGTTCAAATTTTACTAGTAGTAGAATTTTGAAAAATAGTTTATTCTAACAATTTGGACAAAGTATCTGGGGTTGTAATTCTGTAATTCTGGTTATCTTAAGACTAATTTTGGAAGTATGCAATATCATATAAATAAATCTGAAAAGTATATACTTTATAAGAGCTCTGTTTGAAAATCTCAATTAGAAAAATAATATAATTTTTAATAATACTACTTGTAAAAATCTTAATCTGAAGAAGAAAATCTGAAACAGCTAACTTGTATAAACAAGAATCCTTAGGTAAAAGAGATTTGCTAATCTGGTTACTAATTAATTCAGACATAAAGTCACATTATGCAAAACTTACTATACTGAATTGGTAATATAAGAAGACTTGCAAGAATAGACAAATCATCAGTAAGGTTGTAAAAGTAGATACTAGAGTTGTATGAACTCTATAAAGATATAGTAGTTTAATGGTTAGCTCTAATTACAAGTATTAGTTTGCTATAGTAAGTCTAAATCAGCTGTAAATAAAAATACAAAAAGCTTTAAAAAGTTTATCTTAAAAATAAATTAGTCTTAAAATTGAGACAAAAATCTAAAGTAACTTAATAAAGTTGATACAGATTATAGGTTTAAAAAGTTTAAATAAAACATTTAAACAAATATGTTAGATATGGCAACTGATGGAAAACTTTTAGACAGACTTTTTAAAAAGTAATATAGAAAAGTTATATATGTAGCCAGTTGTATACTTTTTCTGTAATAGTTTATATAGAACTATGTTATTTAAAAAAGTATAAATAAAGTCAAAAAACCAAAGAGATAATCTTAATACCAAAATAATAATAATAATAATATACTAAATATTATAATAATATCAATATTTTACATAATTATTTATTATAAAATTATTTAATTCTTGTGAATTTTTTTGGTTAAATAATTTATTATTAAATATAAATAATACAAGTTAATCTTTAATCTATATATATAAATTATTATAAGTTATATTATCATATTTTTGTTATTTAAAAAAAAAATTATTTAAATCCTATTTTTTTAAAACAAAACTTAGTTTTCTTTTTATTATTTTTATAAATATACTCATTTTTTTGTTAGAATTTCTATAATTTTTAAATATACTAGAAATTAATACTACAATTAAAAAGAAGAGAAATAACAAACAAAACCTCTCAAGCAAAGAAATATGAAAAGAAGAAAAGGCTACAAATATAGATAAACAAAACTAAGTTATGAGAAAGAAAAAAGAGAAGAACAAGGTTCAAATTCAGAAAACATAACTTAATTCAGTTTTTAGTTTTGTAAATAGAAATGTAAAACCCTTTTTTCAAGGTCTTACTAACTAGCTTGGTATAGCCCTAGGCCAGAAATAATCTCCTAACCCATGCAGCAGACTGCTCCTGAGCACTCATAGAAGTAGCCAGGAGATGTTGAACCAAAATTTAAGCCAACTTTGTACAATATGTAT